CCGCCGGCCCCTGCTGCAGCGCCCGGGTTGTCTCTGCCCCCCAGGGAGCAGGTGTCTGCGTGTGTTTCCATCCTGGAGCGGCTTCTGCAGGCCCTGGACCCGCTCTATGTGATCCAGAACCTTCGAGAGGAGCTGCAGAAAGGGCTTTTCCACCCCGACGACTCGGTGAAAATCCTCACTATATCTCAGGTACGAGGGTTTTCCTCCAGCAGGAGCTCTGCCCTCAGCCGGGTGGGGTTAATGCCAATCTGCTCCTGCTGTTCCATGTCCTAATCTGTGACAGAAGCACCACATCGTGTCTGCAAGACTTGGGCTCTTACATGCTCTAGAAATTACAGATAAATGCTGTGCAGTGAGTTGGTATATAATGCTTTCTGACCTGTCTGTTAACACAGAGAACTGTCTTGGCAGTTTTAAAACTTGGAAATGAATCTTCTGCACGTGTTCTGGATGAAAGTTGCTGAGCCAGCACGTGCTGTAAGGATTAAGGGCGGCAGCACTTTGATATGCAGTGTACTTGGAACAAGACTATGAAAACACTGAAGAGGAGTAGACTGTAGTAACTTGACCCTTATTGCATTAATTTAAAAGCAGCAAATTATGGAGCAGCATAGTTTGGAATGGACTTCTAGAGGTTTCAGGTCCAGCCCCCAGCAAAAAGCAAGGCTTGCAGCAGTTGCTCAAGGTATTGTCTGGTTGAGTTTTGAGCACCTCCAAAAATGGTAATTCTGGGTAGCTGTTCCAGTGCTTGAGTGTGTTTGTGGTGAAAAAAGATTGTTTTAATGTTATTTTCTATAATTATTTGATTTATTTAGGTCGGGAGGATTGTTGAAAACTCAGATGCTGTCACAGAAATTCTCAACAGTCCTGAACTACTCAGGCAAATAATAAATTGCATTGGTGGAGAGAAAATAGCAGTGGCTAAAGAGGTAAGCATGGCTTTCTTTTTTTTGCTCCACAAACTGATGCAGACACTGCAGAGAACACCTTTTCTGCTGTGTTTGAAGTGACAGGCTCAGATCTTTGAAGGAAATGAAAGCCTGTGTTGCCTGAAAGGTGGTCTGAGCATCCAGGTGCCTTAAGCCCAGAAATGACTTGGGTATGATAGAAAGTTTACCAAGAATTGTTCTCTGCCAGTAGCTCTTGATGCCAGAGTCAACTCACAGTTCTGAATTTGATGCCAGAGACTTGGCTCACAGTAAGGAAAAATGAATCACAGTTGAAGTTTTAGATGTGTAACTTGAGTGATTTTGTTAGTGAAGAACATTGAAACTGAGTCCAGTCACCTTGGATTTTCTTCTCTTTGTGGTGCATGTTTGTTTGTAACAATAAGCTCCTGTTTCTTGCTTCCAGGCCATCAAATCTCTCTCCAGGATAGCACAGACACAGGCTGGGTTGGAGGCTTTATTTGTGAGCAGCTTGTTGAGTGACCTGAAAAATGTCATGGCCACAAGTGACGTTGTTCGGTACCGAGTCTATGAGGTAGGGATCCCACCAGTGCTAGGGTCTGGGGGCTGCACTTCTCTGCCCTGGGAAGAGCTGCTCACACCTGGGGTTTTCTAACTCCTTTTGAACTTGTTTTATGCCAACACTTAGGCTGATTGTGAAAGCATCATTAATTCTATATCAACAAATACAACCAGTCAGCATTATCCAGTATTTGCCTGTTCCTGTGAGTTGTTATATTTTTATAAACCATCCTTTTAAAATTTTTTTTTTCCCTCTGCTTTTATTTAGTTAATTGTTGAGATCTCTTCGGTGTCAGCAGAGTCACTAAATTACTGTGCAAACAGTGGATTGATATCAGAGTTAATTGGAGAGCTGACTGGAGATGATGTGCTGGTCAGGTAGGTTGGCAGTGAGTTTGCCCGTGGGCTTTGCCCCGTTGTTGAAACTCTGATGGTCAGTTCTAAAGTAACACTCTTTAAACACATCTGTGTGTGTTTCCCATTAAAGCCTTTTCAGGGAAACACTTGGAGGGGCCTTGGGCAGTGGGGGTTGATAGTCTGGGTTTTGCTTTTTGTGTGTTTAGATTTTGTCTCCTTCCCTACCTGGATGGGAGGGGGAGAGGATGGAGATCATTGTTGTTGGTTTAATTGTCGATCCTGAGTCAGACTGTGCTGTGTCTTAAGGGTAGAAACCCTGCTTTGTTTTGGCTTTTATCCTAATTACCAAGTACTTCAAAAGCCCATTGGAAATTCACCAAAAGAACCATTTCTGTGTTCCAGAGCTACGTGCATAGAGATGGTGACCTCCCTGGCCCACACCTCCCACGGGCGGCAGTACCTCGCTCAGCAAGGAGTCATTGATAAAGTCTCAAACATCATCCTTGGGGCAGAGTCTGATCCCTTCTCAGGCTTCTATTTACCAGGTTACATCTGGATTTTTCCTGTTCCCTGTGTTCACTGAGAGGACTCTCAAGCCTCTCTTTTGAAAGCTTCTGTGCATATTATTGGCTTGTGTGAGCTGGGTGTGTGCATCTGTCAGCTGGACAGGCTGCTGAGCCATCTCGTATCAGCTCTAGTATTAACTAAAAAGGTTGGACCAGGTGATCCTTGAGGTTCCTTCCAACCTGGCATTCTGTGATTCCATGGAAAACTGCTGAAGGGCAGTCTCACACATGAGTAGTTGTACTTGTGTGCAGTGGTAGAGCTCTGGATCTGGGTAGGCTGAACTGTACATTGGAAGTCTGTGTTATTGTAGCCTTTTGTAATGAATTAAAGACACCTGCTACATCATTAATTAACTTGAAAATACTGGCTTGTTCCTTAGTTCTGCCCATATCCTGATGCCTTTCACAAGCAGTACTGAGACTGAGTAACACTAATTGAGCAGTGAAACCATCTTACATTAATATATGTTTAATTTTGACATGACTGAAGTTACTGTTCCTGCACTCTGAATGCTTTTTATCTATTTCTTTTGTCTTGTTCTCTCAGGATTTGTTAAATTCTTTGGAAATCTGGCTGTGGTTGATAGTCCACAGCAGATCTGTGAACGATACCCTGTCTTTATGGAGAAAGTCTTTGAAATGGCAGAAAGTCATGACCCAACTATGATTGGAGTGGCTGTGGACACACTGGGAGTTCTGGGGTCAAACGTGGAAGGCAAACAGGTTTTACAGAAAACTAGTTAGTATCCTTTTTTCTTTACAATTTTAATAAAATGTTTCCTGAGATAATTGAGTTATCTGTGACACACAGCTTCCTTTTTGGGAATGCTTGGATAGTCTGGAGAATGAGCTTAAAAGCTTTGGATTTGTACATCTTGGATCCATATGAAGCAAAGAGAATCTGACACTTATAGCAGATCCAGAAGGTGCCTTGGTTAGGTTTAATAAACACCACTCTTGTCACCAGTTAATGTAGTATAATGTGACTTTGTGTGGTATAAAGTAACTTTGTATTCCTGTTGAAGTCTGTCTGAATTAATTAAAGCACTTTGTTTTCATTTTCCAAGGAAGCAGATTTCAAAACCTGTTGAACAGAATAGGGCACCAGGCCAGAAATGCCCCTGCGGAGCTACGGCTGCGCTGCCTGGATGCAATTTCATCTCTGCTTTATTTGCCTGTAAGTCCCTGCTTTGGTTTGTTGTGTGTGTTGGGTTTTGGTTTGGGTTTTTTTACATCTACAAGGGTGAGATTATTGTGCATCTGACTAACTGTTTTTGTAGCATCTAGTTTGGGTAGAACTGGTAACTTTCTAGTATTCTAATACACTTGACTGATTTGAAAATACCTGGTTTATTTGTTTGCTTAAAGTTGGCATTTGTTTGCAAGAAGCCAGGTATTCTGGAGTCTGTTTATAAAACATGAAGTCAAGGCAGCAGTGGCAAGGGAATGAGAGTAAACAGATTAATATTCTTGTGCCTTAAAGGGATAGAGGCAAACTGCTCTAATCCCTGCTTTAGAGTCAGTTTTAATAGGGTAGCTGTAAACAAGCCGGTTTCGTTTGTCTCACAGGGCTGCACTCCAGCACAGCACTAATCTCATGTATCAATTGATTTAAATCTGTCTTCCAAGTCCTCCTTCATGAAAATAAGTTGAAAATTTAAATTGTTTCAGTTGAATCTGCTGGCAGGTTTTTTTAAGTAACTTAACTTTTGAAGATACACTGAGAACTCAAAAGCTTTTCATGATCCTAATCAGACTCTTTCATTTTCGTACATGCTGTGTGTAGCCAGAGCAGCAGACAGAAGACCTTTTAAGAATGACTGAATCCTGGTTCAGCTCCTTGTCTAGCCAGCCACTGGAGCTCTTCAGGAGCATCAGTACTCAGCCCTTCCCTGATCTCCACTGTGGAGCCTTACGGGTATTTACTGTAAGTCTTTTTTGGTTTCAAAGAGCAGGCAGTGAGTTGTATTGCCATTCAGCTTCAGGTTTTTTTTCTTGTTTAACTGAAAGCACAAACTTCTTGCTGAAGCCCTGAAGTGGTCAGAAAGAAGGTCTTTCATTGTGCCCCACTTGCATTCACCATTTGAATAATGCAGCAGTTGGGATGTTTGTAATGCTTGTTTTCTTGTATATTGGAGAGCAAAAAATGAGCAAGCAGCAGCTGTGTTCTAGGGTGCTGCTCTGATACCACAGGCACTGCTGTGATAACTCACTTCAAACTTTAGAGATAAGCACTGAGCTCTACTTGCAGTGCTAAATCCTGCTGCTTGGTTGGAGTGGTGCCTGTGTAACTGCTGTGTAGAATCAGCATCCCATTTTGTTTTCCCTTGGCTGCTTGCCTGCTGTGTAGCTGGTTTTTGGGTGTTTGAAATGAGGTGTTTTTCCCCCTCCTCCCCCTCTTGTCTTCACATTTAGGCGATTGCAAATCAACCGTGGGCCCAGAAGTTGATGCTTGACAGCCCAGGGTTTGTGGAGTATGTGGTGGACAGATCTGTGGAGCCTGACAAAGCTTCAAAGGATGCCAAATATGAACTGGTGAAGGCCCTGGTAAACTCCAAAACAATTGCAGAAATCTTTGGCAACCAGTATTACCTGAGGCTGAGGGCCTACCTGCGTGAAGGCCCTTACTATGTTAAGGCAGTTTCTACTACAGCTGTGGAAGGAGCAGAATAATGTCTTTGATGTCTTGATTCCCCCTCTTGCAAGCCAAGGTACTGAAGTAGGTGTTAAAGTGCCAGGTGTGGAGACTCTTCTCACTGGAGTCTCTTTAGATTGTCTCTTTAAAGGAACGTGAAGCACTTTGGCTCTATTTGAAATGAGTCATGAGAGCAAATCAAAACCTCTAGGGCACAGCATAATTTCCCATAGGATGTCATGGCAGAAGTTCTCTGTGTACTGTCGTGAGATGAGTAACCAAAGCAAGCACTCTGTCAGCTGCTGGCTGTGTGGTGGTGTGCAGAAATTAATCAGTGTTCAGCTACAACTGCTCTTGGGTTTGGAGTTCCTGTGTTTTCTCAGTAGATCACATGTAAAAAAAACAAATGCCAGAACACCTCAAGGTTTGTAACCTCACATGCTGCCATAATTTCTCTTCTTTATGTTTTTGTTTGCTGAACTTGGCCTGGAACATGCTCTTTTAGCCAGTGATGTGGTCAAACCTTGTTGGTCAGAGTGGGCCAGTAACATTAGGTCCCTGTGAGGAAGTACAAACTGGATTCTCTTCTGTGTTCAACTTGCTGGATAGAAGTCTTGCTTGAATAAATAATTCTAAATATTGTTTACATTTTATGCTAAGGATGGAAGAAAAGCTCTTAACTCTCTTAAAACAAAGTGAATGCACCTTCTGGTGTGCAAAACCAAACTGGGAGCTTTGTCTCCCTTGTTGACTGAGACTTTGTATGGCAGCAAGTTTACTTGCTCAAAAGAAGCACGAGCTATAGCACTACAAATCTACTTCAGAACCAAAACTTAAATTGTTTACACTATTTTTTAACAGATTTTTTTAAATTAAGTGTTATTTTTTAAAATGTAGGGTTTTGGTTGGCTGAGTTAGAATAAAAGGGGTAAGAAACGTTTAAGGGCATGAACTGAATTAGGATTTTAAATGTAGAACCTCACGAAGCTGGAATCTTCTTTTGAAGGTGGGCAGCTTGTGATGATGTGCAGGAGTAGCTGGACACTAGAGACATGTGGTGTCTGTCCAACAGAGACCTTATGTGTTTTGTACAAAAGGTTTATATTATCTTTGAGGACATAAACCAATCAGAGGAATAGCTGGGGGGAGCATAATAAAACCTGAAACTACTACTTTTGGTCTAATTTTACTAGTGTGTCACTTTGTGTCCCTACACTGCCAGGTGAAGCAGGATGATCTGCTTGTGCAGAACTTTTTTCTTGCCTGTAGGAGCTGTGAGCTGCAGCAGAGGTGAGGTATGGCCTGCCACAAATTGCTGGCAAGGCACTTAAGTGGGCTCAGGGCAGGGTAGTTGGGGAAGAACCCTTAATGTCTAACAAGTTCCCTGGATGCAGGTGACCTGCCTTCTTGCTTATGATCTAATATGTGCAAAAGTTGTCATCCAACATTCTGCTACTGCTGATGCTTTAGTCCTTGATGTGCATAATAAACATCTGCCTGTGGGAAATGCAGTACATGGTGTCTTGTTTGTGAACAGAGGGAGCACAGAAGCTTCATGAATCCTGCCCCCCAGAAAAAAACATGAAAGCACTAAAAAGGAAAATGAGGAGAGGAGAGAAGTCTGTGGTTTGCACTCATACTGGGCAGTTAGCTTTGTTATTTTAGGTGGCTTTGGGTGCTGGTAGCTCTGAGCCATATTCTGAAATCTCAGTCAAAGAAATCAGTATATAAACCTTTTCTGCAATTCATGAGTTTCTTCTGTGTGTGTTTTCAGCTGTTGCTTTGGAAGGCTACTTTGTGTGCTAGGTCTTTAGCATCTGCTTTGCATGGCACATTTGCCAAATACAATATTTTAGAATACACAGAGATGCCAAACAAGGGGGTTTTGTATATGTACATATGCTTTATTTTCTTGAGCTCAACATTCTGATTAATTGATCAGACTCTTACCCCTTATTATTCACTTGCAGTTCCCTACCCATCCTGTGCATTTCCACAGGGTTTACATGTTGCTGCTGGTTTATCTTAATGGATCAAGTGAAGCATGGTGTCCCTGTCCCCCCCTGGGAAGTAACAGGTGGAGATAATTGAGGAAAAGACAGAAATGAAATGACAGAGATTGAGGTAACATGCTGAACTTGATGGACTTGGTTTAAAATCAAACACAAGCCCACAGCTCATCATTAGACCCTGGTTAATAAGCAGTTCAACATGGTATTGAGTTGTGGATCCTCCAGTTCCTTCAGTCACAGCAGGGGGAGCAGATGGTGCCCCCAAAGGAACCTGTGTCTCCTCCTATGTGTGTCCCTCACAACCGGAGGACAGATCTGCCCAGCCAGTCTTGCTGAAAGAGCTGGTGTGGGAGAGTTCAGCTGGAGCAGGCAGGCAGGGGTTTTGTTTGGAGTTTGGGCATGGTTACATTTGGGAAAGGTTGGTGTGCTCAGAGTGCTGGTGAATTTATTCCAACTTCACTGCTGGTGCTCTTCTGCATCATACCTTGGTGTGTCAGTGTTTCTGTGATGCCATGACTGACAAATACCAGATTCTTTGACAGGTGAGTTGGGTTTCATGCCTGGAATCTTACTGGGCTGTTTAGCTCTGGAATCCCCAGGGCAGTTCAGTGTCCCCACTCAAAGCTGTTCTGTAGCTTCACTGGTGCTGTAAAACAGGCAGCTGAAGAGTGGGTCCCTTTGTTCCCCTCTGTTACCAAATACTTTGGAAGCAGATGATGCCTCGTTCAGATAAACACAGAAGGAGTTTTGACATAAGGTCAAGGACTTCAAAAGTCTGGAAAACACAGGATACAAACAAAGTTTCTTGGAATACTTTTTTTTTTTTTACTTCTCTGCATGCACTTGTAGGTACATACACCCAGAGAGCATTTGTAGCTACAGCAGTGAGAACTGACCAGCAGATTGTTGCTGCTGGATGTGAGCAGGACAGAACAGCTGGTGAAAGAAAATTCAGGCTTTCTTTGCAGAAGTTAAACCTTAATCAGCGAAATGAAGAACCTCATATTTTATTTTATCTAAATTAAACTGTTTGAACTTATCAATGTAGGTCAAAACCTTGCAGGACACCAGCCCGTAGTAGGTTTCCAATAATGAACAATCTTCCCCAGCACTTGTTTCCTCCCAGTCTTTAAGTAACTCATCCTCTTTCATCTTGGAAGAGGTGAAAATGAATTTATAGCAGCATCGATTGTAGCTGATGTGCTTTCCCCCAGAAAAGCGAGAGCTGTGGGTGGGAGTGATGCCAGCTCTCTTAGCACAGATGCCCACAAAGACCTCGGGGGGCAGTGAGGCTGGGACCCCCTGGGCAGCCACGTACACCTTGCGAGCCACGTCCTGGGACAGCAGGAAGGCGCTGCCGTGGCAGTAGTCGGGGTAGAACTCCTCTGAGTACTGCTGGGTGGGAACAAAGCCAGGGCTTGTGGGGTCCCTGTCGGGCATGCCCTGATGTACAACCCTCCCCATGTAAATGTCCTCTAGCTGTGTTAAGCTCAACAGGTAGCCAGCCAAGCTTGGAATGCTAACAAACACGTCTTCATCTGTTTTGAGAACATACCTTGCGTGGGGACAGAAAGCCACTGTCCACTCCACGCTCATCAGCATCTTCTGTGTCTGTGTCTGGGGAGAGTCAATGAAGCTGCCTTCAATAATGTCCCTGTGGTTTTGAGACTCCTCATGGATCTCCAGCTGGGTGGAGGCTGAAGCTGGCTTTCCTAAGGCAAACAGAGTCAGCACAGCAGAGCCTCTGGTGTCCGTCACATTGCCCCATGTCTGCCTGATCACGTTGCGCCTTGCCCTGTTTTCTGGGCTGCTGCAGACAAGGACCAGCAAAAGGATCTCCTGATCAGGGCATGTTGCTGTGCTGCTGATGGTGTAAGAGAGATTGGCCTTTAGGGCAGCTGTGTCCAGCCTCCTGGCCCTCTCCCTGATATCCAGAGTCTTGGCGTCGGTGTAAGAAAGAGGTAATGACCGCAGGAAATATTCCTCCAGTAAATCTGCCCCAAAAAGCAGCACGTGGAAGAGCAAGACATTGAAGAGGATGAAGCACCACTGGTGAGTGCGGAGCCTGCAGAGTGTCAGCTGGGGAGGAGAAGAAAGAGAAGACACAGACATTGAATTCTCTTGCTGCTGGAACAGAAAGGCTGTCCTTCATTTGATGTGCTCATGGAAAGCACAATCACAAGTTTTACACCATGGTCTTTGGTGTCAGGCTCTTCTCCTGGAAGCCTAGGCAGCCCTATCTCATGTGGCACAGCAAGATCCCAATACCATCCTGAGGTTTAGAAGGCTCCTTTCTATGCATTCATGAGTGGAAATACTGAGGAGTAACTCACTATTAACATTTTCTGACTGCTTTTAAGCTGTTACTGAAAGCCTGAGATGCTGATGAGGACCTGTTAATGTAAATATGTGTCCTCAAAGGAGAGCCTTTGGTGCACGGCCTGAAAATGCTGCAGGAAAGCTGGCAGGGTAAGGAGCCAAAGGGAAAGCTGTTATCCCTGACACTTACCTGCATGGTGGTGGGAGCTCTCCCTGCAGCAGGGTCTGTCCACAGCAGAGGTGGTTTCTCCAGCAGAGGCTTGCAGGACAGTAGCTGTATCTGGGTCTGTGGGATTGAGTTACTGCCCAATACCCAGAGCTGCTGCTTCCACCTCACCTGCTTGGAGGAAAGATGATCCCAGGGGACGATCATGTTGCAGCTGCACAGAACACAAAGCAAGCAAAACTCTGCCCTTTGCCTTTATTAATTTCTGAGCCTTGGGCTTGGATCTCTGAGAAATAAGGAAATGAGGCTCCTGCTGGGCTCCCTTGGTAGAAGGGCTCCCCTGGGACCCTGGGGATGCTGTGCAGGCTCTGCCAGCTGGGGGTTGGTTTCGTAGCCGGTGTGTTTTCAGTGGGCTCCAGGGAGCAAGACACGAGGAAGGGGCTGAGCAGGAGGAGCTGAGGGTGCTCAGCCACACATCCCGTGGTCAGGAGGGCAGGGGTGCTTTGGGGTGTCCGCCCATCTCTTACCCCTCCAGCATCTC